TGTATTTACAGGGACTAGAGACATATTTAAACCTAAGTATAATTGAAGACGTGATCTACATCAATCTGGTAATTAAACAAGATAAACTTAAAAAAAATAAAAGTGTTTTTATATATACTATTTTATGAATAAAATTTAGAGGTGAGATTAATTTGGTTCTTCGAAAGAAAATTATGAATCATATGAAGAACAGTTAGCTCAATATTGATTAAATTCCAGGAATTTTTTGAAGACCAGTACATATATAAGAATTCATAGTATCACTTCGGTTCAATTCTATAAGTTGTTTGTTAACCATTAGAAAAAAATATTTAACAATTATTGTGTTTCATTGATAAACCGCTAGCTAGCACATAAATTGAAAAAATATATATAATACTATGTATCAAACTAATAAACATCTAATAAAAAATAAGTAAACAAATTTTAACAGGAAAACAACGAAGAGAAAACAATGATTATCTTAAGAAGAAAACTTTGATTGCACCTGTTTGATTTTTCTTAAGGACTAAACATTATATTTTTACCCATAGTTTAATTAATTAATTAAATTCTGGTGGTAGTATCAACGTAACTTACTCTGATGATGGCGGCAGACGGCGGAGGATGGTGGTAAGATTATGGTAAATCGCCGGTGGTATTCCTCCGGGGGGGGGGGGGGGGTCACGCAACTGGCAACGGTGGTCTGGATTAAAAAGTGTATCGACTTTTTAAAAGTTTATGAACTTATCATGAATTTATAAAAATCAGCAGAACTGTTCAAAAAGTGTCTATAGATTTAAAAGTGTATGAACCTTTTTTTAAGTTTTTTTATCATCTCTATTTTACTTAACTCACCTATGGTTTATTTATGAAGCTCCCCTAAGGATCTATACATACAATAATAAAAATAGGAGTAAATTGCACAAGTTTTTTGCATATAACTCTTGCTATTAAACAGCTTTTTACAACTTCAAACTTATCTTTTATAATATCTACTTCTTCTGTCCTGTTGAAAGGTTCTCGTGAGTAAATTACACAATTTTTTACACAAGTGGTTAAATAAAGTAATCTGGGTAAAAGAAAAAGAGGAAAGAAAATGTTAAGAAAAAATAAACATATAAACTCAAAGTAATTAAAGGGAGATAAGTTGAGGGAGGGAAAATTTTGAGACTTGACATGTAATGAGTAGGAAAAAGGAATTTGAGTAAAAACGTACTACCTCCGTTCCCATTTTAACTTCCAAATGGGTTTGGCACAAAGTTTAAGATAGTGGATATTGTGTGGTGGAGAATTGTGCAGAGGAGAGAGAAATGTGTAAGAAATGTTGTGAACCACAAATTCTTTAACAAAAAGGGAAAGTGGAAGTTTTAATTGGAACGGACGAAAAAGGAAAATTGGAAGTTTATTTAGGAACGGAGGGAGTAATTAAAGAGATTAATTATTATTTCCTAAATGGAATAGAAACATTTGAATGAGACGCCCAAATAAGGAAAGTAAAACTTTTCAAAAGGACATAAGGATTATCTTTTATCCTTACATATGCAAGAGAATAATATATTTTCGTCAATGATAGTATACACAGACATTAGTTGTTTGCAACAGACAAAAAATAATTGTTCATAGAAAATAGTTGCACAGACATTGCGTTCGGTGTAGCAAAAACTTGATTAAAATACTATTCACATCGATTTGCGTTTTTCTTTTTGCAGCAACGTCAGCATCAATTGCACGCCAACCAATGTTTATGCTCAGACATTAGTTGTATGTGCACAGACATATGTTGTTTGCAACATGCAAAAAATATACATATACAAACGGTCAGCTTTTTATCAAATAGCTACCACATTTTTTTAAGATCTTTTCAGTCACTAGAAGTTAACAGTTATTAAAAAGTTCATAAAAGTATCTTTTCGACTAGTTGTGTCAAACATACTTATGCATAGGAACATATTACTATTCAACTTATGATGATGATTAATACATTTGGTAACAATAAAATTGGCCACCTCTGGTGGATTTATTTAAGTTATGTGTCTGAACTTGTCTGATTTTGAAAAACGATACTTGAAAAGTAATAATGATCCATAAAGAAGAAAAGCCAAAGAAGTTTACTATATAAGCAATGTATGCATAGTAAAAAAGAAAAGCAATGTATGCAAAGCACTCTGCATTTTGTATTACGAGCTTGACTTCTGAACATGAGACTAAAAATGAAATTAAATGATTAAAACACGTAAAAATGACATGTATAATACTAACAGATTAAGTTTCTCAACACAAACATATGACTAGTTATGTTTTTTGGACAAAAATACGACTAGTCATTATGTATGACTAACGGGATAAGAGTCATTATAGTTGTTTTGAAATAGTAAATATATGACTTGTTTTGTTTTTGTTGTATTTTCTCTCTTTCTTATAGTATCTATTTTGTTAAATGACAACATCATTGACTGATATGAGTTTCAAACTTGTGCTCTCATCCTTAGGAGTGTCACAATGATGTCATCGAACCACAAGTGCTTGTCTAAAAATGACTAGTTAAAATACGTCACATTTTTATCTTTTGAATTTACTTTAGTAATACTCATGGAAAAAGGCCTTATAACCCATCTCGTGCGAGCGGAGAAAAATTCTAGTTGCACATAATATAACAATATATATATGTCACCTATCGATCTTTTAGGATTTGTTAGTTTCATGAACTCTTTAATAAAGCGAAGAAACAAAAAAAATCATAGTTGAACAAAATGTAAAAGAGAATATTCCATACTTTCCAGTATAACATAATATATTTTCGTCAATGATAGTATATATTTTAAGAGATAAAGAGGATATTTTATTAAGAAACAATCTTGGGCCGGGACATATTCTTACAAAAAAGAGTCTTATTCAACCAATAAAGCAATGGAAATGAGTCCCATGTAAATGTGTAGTACTATTAGTATTTAACGGATGGTGGATCATGTTAGCATGTTGTTAATAACAAATTCATTCAACAGGTTTGACCATAGTGATTACTACGCAAATGTTTTATTCCAAAATACTAACCGAAACGTTGTTATTTGCAGTGTTTGTATTTCATCGATTCCGTCTAAAACGCTAGGGCTAAACATTATTTTACCTCACAAAAATGCTAAAAACGTTTAACTTTACTGAAACGCCACTCGCCAAACACCCTCAAAATGGAAGGATAAATCAAATCTTCATCACATTGTGGTCCTGAATTGATCAAAATCCTTAATTCTATGTATTGCTCGGTGAATTCAAGGTCTCATTGCATGGTTAGTGATTCCGAATTCCGATACAGGATCTCACACGACTTGTCGTGCTCTAGATGTTAACGGATTCAAGAGAAAAAATATACCAGAAAACTAGTCAAATGATCTGCCTTTTAAACTGAAAGGGTATCTCCGTCATTCTCCCACCAGACCACATTAATTTTCAGGAATGAACAAAGCTTTTAGGAGATTCTAGTTTTAGAAATCTAGAAATTATTGACAAGCACTGAATTAAAAGTAAAGCATTTTGAAAAAGAATACATGATGTATTTATAGGTGATTAGAAAAAAGAGGGTACCCTAATTAAATTTTCTGAAATGAAATAAGGAAACTCCCAAAATAGATAAAGATTTAATTACTATCCTTTAAGACAAAAAAAGGAAATTCCTAACATGGTAGTGAATTAATTACGCAATTGTGCTAAATAAAATTACTTCATCCCACTTATCTCCCTTATTTATCTCACAATTTTCTCTCTCCCTACATTTTTACTCCCCTGAATCCCCCTGATCCCCTCCTTCGTCATTCCATATGTACACCCTATTCACTCACACCTTCCATCTTTTTTCTATTTCTTTTCTTCTCATTCTTTTTCATTTCTTTATTATGGAATCACCACTTCTCCTTTTCATCTTTTTTTCTATTTTGTTATTATCAGAGATTCACCGAAAAACAAATTAGAAAATCATCGAAGCGACAACTTTACCATATTTCGTCTTACTGACATGATCACATCGTCAACTTTTTTCTAAATCGAAAAAATAATCAGAAGTAACATGTCACCGGAAAACAAAATTGAAGAAATAAGAAAATTTAAACCAGTGTCTATGCACAGACATTAGTTGATTGCGACAGACAAAAAAATAACTGTGCACAGAAAATAGTAGTTACGCAGAGATATTGCTTTCGGTGTAGCAAAAAACTGATTAAAACATGATTCACATCGATTTGCGTTTTTCTCTTTGCAAAGGCACTCACATCAATTGCACGCAAACCAATGTTTATGCATAGACATTAATTGTTTGTGCACAGACATAAGTTGTTTGCAACATACAAAAAATGTCTGTATACAGACGACTAATTTCTGTGCACATGCACTGGTTTGGATGTATTAATTCATAGATCTAGAAATTTACTACATTTTCAATTTATATTTTTCTTATAGACAATTTATATCAATATTTAGGACAACAGTGACAATAACTTCAGCGATTATTCATCTTCAATTTTCCAGCGAATTTCCGGATACTCTGAAACTCTGATTATTTTCCGGTCTTGAAACATAATAAGGGTAAAGGTAGAGAAGAGAAAGTATAATGATAATGATGGAGGATGATTATTATATTAAAGATGAAAAATGAGTTGAGAAAAAGAGGGGAAATGGTTAGATATTAATTAGTGGGATTGTGAATTTAATTTATACATTTGTGGTTAGATATTCTGTCAACTAATTCAAAACTTTGTTTTATATTTTTGGGGAGAACTATCAAATAAGCCCTTGAACTTTCATAAAAAGTGCAAATAAGCCCTTTTACAGGAGGCTCTGTCCGGCCGTCGCTATTTGGGACGGTTTCCATTGGAATTTTTTTATGAAAGTTTTTGAGCATCTTCTTCATTAAGTCTAGTTTACTCATATCAAATATCAGCTAAAAATTCAATCGGGAAGGCAGTCAAATGAATTTTTGAAGATAACTACGCAGTTAGGCAGCGTAGTGTATTTTAGAAAATCATTTGACTGCCTTCTCGATTGAATTTTTAACTGAAATTTGGTATGGGTAAACTAGACTTAATGAAGAAGATGCTCAAAAAATGTCATCAAAAATTCCACCGGAAACCACCTCAAATGGCGACATCCAGACAAAGCCTCCTGTAAAAGGGCTTATTTGCACTTTTTATGAAAGTTCGAGGGCTTATTTGATAGTTCTCTCATAATTTTATTTTAAAGTTTTACTATATTATGGTGACGTTGATAAGTAATTAGTTTGAATACTTTATTGTTTACTCAATATTTTGTTAGCGTAGCAATAGTTTTTTATATACATAAGACAAGAACCGAGAATTCGGACAGAACCGACTTCTTTCAAACGGGGCAGGTATGGTCAAACCGACGATCTCTAAACATTCATCAATTATCCGGACCAATCCGGGTCATGCCTACCTACCCCTATCTCCACCCATACTTCTCAAGTATTAATTTATTTTTCAAGAATATTTCCAGATTAAAAAAAAATTATGAAACTCAGGATGGGCTCACCATGGATTGGCCCAATTCTAATAGTACCTATGGGTGGTTCAAGAAATTGAAAGTCGGACTGAAGAAATTGAACTACAGACCCCAAAATCAATTTCGTTCAGAGGTATGGCCGTATGGGTGTAAACTATGGGTGTTATGGATTATGATTACAGAGAGTTGTTTTTCACTATATTGTCTAGATTTTTATTTTACGTTTCTTTTGTTTGTTATTGAGTATGAGTCTTCATACAAAAAATTAGAACTTAGGAGAAATAGTTCTAGCATTTATTAATCAAATGCATCTTAACAGATTATGTGCCATGTATGTCTTTGTACACGAAAAGCTGTGCCAAGCATTATCCATGGACTGATCCATTCGACTGAATAGGAAGCTCATGTAGTTGTAATACTTGACGTCTTAAACATGTAAGATACTGGAGAAATGCTTAGGTCAACAATATGCTGTGCATTTGGAAATTGGTGAGAACCCAATTATATGATTAAAACCCCAAATACTGTACTTGGTATATGATACAGTTGAATGAGTGTTGTCAACTAGTACCCTTTATACCTTTAGTAGTATGTGGTCAAAGATTACCACTTACCACCAGACTGGTATATCAATCATTAACACAGGCAAAGAGAAACTATCCTTGATAATAAGTTAATTGCCAAGTCTTCAGTAAAGTGGTTTCGTGGTTCTTGATTGTTGTATCTGAGATCAGTTTAGAGCGGTCAACCTTACAGAGATTTGTATTCCTCTATCAGACGGGATGCATGAAGACGAGATGTTGGAACCACAGTACATCCCAAACTTTGAAGATAAGAAATCTGTCCCATAATCAATATAGATAAGAAGTTAAAAACTCATATGATTATGAGAATTCAGATACTTGAAATTTTATGTTGTTTGAACTTGAAGTATTGAAGCACCTGTTTAGGAGTTGGTTCTGATGAGCTCATTGCATTCTCAACTCCCACTTTTTGAAAATGTTCCTAAAAGACATTTAGGGGTAGAGAAAGTTGCACGATTGTGATGTGTTTCTTCAAATAATTGATGCTGCATGGATATGTAAACATCTTGCAGAATGAAGAAGTTTAAGAAAATGTGTAGAATGCACTAAACATTTAAAAAAATTAGAAACATATGATAGCATATGAATGGAATTCGGTTTGATTAAAAAATACCCATCCTAGTACAGATTCATTCACCAACATTTCTAAATATTTTAAACATAACATTTGACTTTTTTCTGAATTTTTTTGTTTAATCTATATTACATTACATATAATGGAGTGTGATATCATTATGTTACATAGTATCATACTCCGTATAATGGAGCATGATATTTCATTATAAAAACATATAAATTAATTATTCTATAAGATAAAAATGTATATTTGAACATCTGCATGGGGCTTAAACCACTAAGTGGTATATCTGATTTGGACCAACATGAAAGAGTACCTGTTTTTCTCTCGTCAAATAAGCACGCTCGTCAGCAGGTATTTGCAGCCAATACAGAACCTGATCAAAAAAGAAACTTTATTATCACATAGTCTGTGCAAAAGCAGATAACACACAGTGGCAAATCTTCCATTGAGTTGCTATAAAAACAGAGAGAGAACTTACATATTCAGCATAAAGAAGAGCTTCATCACTCCCCAGGCAGGACTTCAAGGCACATAATACACCCTGGCAGTCATTGAGCCAACACTGAGACAGGTGATCAATATATATGCATCTTAAGACATGTGTAATATAAACACCTGTGGTAAACTTTGTTATCGAAAGCAGTGCGATAAAATTGGCCTGTTGGTTGGTTCTCAGAACCCACCTCAAGCAAACTAATTATTTATCTGGGAAAGTTACATTTTAATCCATATTATACGGCTAAACAGTTATTTTCATTTGCGACTGTTTTGGGTACTCAATTTCTCATGTATCATCATCCTTCGCTGTCAAATAAGGTAGAGCATTTTTGTCTCTGCTTTTACAAAAAATGTTAAAAGGGCATGGACAAAGGGCATCACCTCATTTGAAACCATAGGATCATATATGCATAACTGGAACAATCATTATGGGACTCGCTATTTAGCCATTACTTTGGGCCTAAAAGTACACAAGTTATCTTCATGTTCAGGTGACTGTTGGAATTTCAACATTAACAAGGAACATATTGGTACTTGGGGATGCTCACATTTAAAATTCTAAATTAAAATTTGTATCATTATATTTTAACCTTTTTACTGTTTCTTTAATTCCATCATCCACCCCAGCAGGGTTTTGTCAAGGGTATTTGGTTATTTTAGAGAAAACTTGTGTGATTTGTATTTATTATTGGCTCTTAAAACATTTTCAATCTATCTATTGGTCAAAAAGAGTCCTATTTATCGAGGGAATTCGATCCAATCCAAAAAACTACCATCATATTTATTTTATCGCTACATAACAATTATTGCTTTAAGAAATGCACAATACATGCCCCAAATCTGACTATAACTGAAAAAAATCTTAACATTTTAAACCTATTTAGTTGTTGATTTGGGCCCAATTTAACCCGTGAATCCTATCCCTTACCTTTTGGATCTTAAACATTATCTATTTAGCAGTTAAATTAGGCCCACTCTATTAGGTGAATCAGATGTAATCCAAACAACCCTCTTTATTCTCAGTTTTATTTATTATTTTGGTTATTTTACGTAATGCAGGTGTCATGACGATTATGGATTTATATTTTTTTTCTCTTGGGGATATGAAGGGACATATGGAGGTGGTGTTTGCTGAAAGTATTGCACCATCCACCTCCATTACCATGAATTCAGATATGTTATGCCTGGTGAGATAGGATTTAGTGTCGATCAATTGTCTAAAGTTATTTAACATGAAATAATGATCAACAACAACAGTCAAGCCTTAGTCCCAAAAGATTTTGGGGTCGGCAGTAGGCTAACATGAAATAATGAAAAACACTGAAAGTTTTGCCCCCCCCCCCCCCCCCCACACACACAGCTTAATGAAATTTAGCAGGAAAAGAGCATGGTGATTCAGAAATGTGATTAAGAAGGAACAGAACCTTATGCGAGATCTTCTTGGCACTCAGCCGCTCATCAATGACAAAACCAACCTACCGCAAAATGAGGTGATTTATGGACTGGTTTCATTAGACAGCATATGTGGGTAAACTTAGTAACTTGTGTCGATGCAATGACATTAGAGAACAGACGCAATATATTACAACCAACGAGTGATATTTTACTTTATTGAGTAGCCTCTTCGGATCCTTAAATGCAGGCTTTTTGGCCCACTGATGGAATAAATGGGAAACGACAGCACGATCTTCTTTACTAAATCTGCAATGCCACAAAGAAACAATATACATTTATGGTCCAATTTCATAATAGAATTGTATTTACGGTTTCTTCTGCAACAATCACAATCAATAAACAAACCTTCTTAGAAAATTATTTGAAGTGCACACTTCTATTGATTCTGTTGGAGCTTTATCCCCAACTTTTTTGGAAGAATTGTTTAGTCCTGAGCTATCTTCAAAGGACTGTATCTTTTCTAGGGAAGCAATCTGGGGCATTTCTTCAGTGTGTAGCTGTTTGCTTGTTTCTGAACCTCTTAAACTTTGATCTTCCTACAAAAGAAAGTAACAATGGCATCATCTTCATGCTATGCCAAAAGAACATGAAAATGCATGTTTGAAGTGTTAATGTGTCGAAGCATGTAACATTATGAAGGGTTTACTTTTTATATTTTCAGTGTGTGGCTTGGTGCTAATGGAGCTAAGCAGCTAAACAAACTTTTTAGAAGATTGTTAACAATGAATTTTTAATTCATGTACAAAAAGTATTATTTTCTAAACTCCATTTTGTAAACCACCTGGAACTCCAATAGATGTCGAGGAATTTCTCTTAAAAAACGTGACGGTTGAAGAACCTGAAAATACAAGCATTCACATTTCAGAACTGATTGAAGAATATTATATATTTGGTTAAACAATACACTATGATTTTACTCTACCTGCCAGTTAGAGTCCATCAATATATGTAAAATAAAAAGTTTTTTCTTGGCACGAGTCATTGCCACATATAGTAAGCGCCTCTCCTCCTAATATTTGTACAGAAAAACGTAATAAATAAAAAGATGAGCATTGAATGTGTATTGGTGAGACTGTGAGAGAAGGCAGAAATAATGCATTAATCTTTAATGCAAATTTTTTCCATCATTATAACTCGGGTTAAACTTACCTCTATAGAGTTAGCACTTTCATTTGTAATTCCATTGTGTTCATGTAGCAAGGGAATCTCAGAATCATTGACCTGAAATATTGGTCCAAGGAAGATTCAGAAGGGAACTAAAACACATAGAATCTAATTGGGTCACACAGCTTGGGGGTCTTCAAAGTTCCAATTTGAAACAGGGGAAGCAAAAGCACATTCCTCTTAAAAATGTGTCATTCTTTTCATAAGCTAATCTTAATCAAACTATGAGCAATATATTTCCAGTATTTCCCGTACTCGATTAAGGAACAGCATATATTTATGCATTTGAAATGAAGTTTATCAATAGCTACAAGGACAAAGTACGTATTTTGTTTTCTTTCCTCTATATTCCAAACTTTTGCATAGAGATTTACAACATCAAATACAGATAAAAATTTACTGAATTATTAGTACCTTCACAATGAAAACTGTATCCCACTCTAATCCCTTTGACTACACACAAGTAGAAAAGTGTAAGCAAATGTGTTCAATATAAGCCATACCTGAGTGAAGGTGAAATATGTAGAATTTAAAGGAAATGGAAAACCTGATGTATTGTAGTAAGGGTGACAGAATCTTTATTTTCAAGTTTCCTGGCACGGAAATTTTCTGTCTCGCGTTCAGATATGTAATCAATGAACAGTTTGAGCACACTGGCACAACCTTTCTCTTCTTTCATACAGCCACTTTCTCCTTCTAAAGTATTAAATTGGGTTCTCAAGAAATCAGATACGTCGTCCAGCAAATATTGAAGAACCTGAGTCATTGCACTCAAAGGTTTAGATGCATTTTTACATTGGACATAATAAAACTAATGCTTAGATACTAGTACAGGGGTAATGCTGATTTGAGGAAACATTTAATTTACCTAGATTACAATAGTGACTTAAATGTTTCCTCATGATACACTCCCTCATGATGTTCTAAAACAATAGAAACTACACCAAAATTATTATTGATCATTCGATTTGTTGATCCAATCACAAAAAAAATAGAATAAAATTTCAATTTATAAAATCAGATATTAAAGAGTTATATTGGTCGCGGTAATAATGAATAGGACCTTATTCTCGGACTGAGAGAGTACTATATAGTCTTCACATATTTACTTGAGAATACTTGAAAGAGAAGTGCATGAGGAAAGGAGAATATCAACTTACAGATCTAATATCATTGTCTTCATTAAGTAACTTTCCTCCATCACTATCAACCACTGCCCTCTGTTCCAGAAGGAACTTCTACAAGACACAAGAGCATATGCAAAGGCATGCCAAATTATATTTCAAACTATGGTATCAATCAGAAAATCAGAAATTGTTAGAATTATTAGAAAACTTGGTTTAAATATTACATTTGTACACTGCACTAGATTTCCATCACCACTATTTACGCATTTTGTGCTTATCACTTGAGTTACAATAACCAACCTGAGGTATCATACTCGCAACTGAAGTAATGACAGCAGAAATTGATTGTTCCTGCAAGCATCAACCAGTGAAATTACCGAAGTGTCATTTAGACCAATTGCTATTAAAATGTTAAGTGCTGTAAACTACAATCACTACACAATGATCATTGCTTTAAAGAGTTTCATGAGTATAAAACTGTATCCAGAGAAAGTTTTACCGCTATCTACGAGTGAGGTACAATCGGCACTTAATAACCATCTACACTGACCATTTAATTTTCATGTGTATAAAATTGCACCCAAACTCTAGAGCCAACTTAATTGCTGTGTGATCATTTAGAATGGTTGATCACCACTTTTTGGAGTATATTTTTCGTTAGTGTAGAAAATTGTATGCTGAGCCTGAGAGGTAGCTTTCTTGTTGGAATGTAAAACTTACGGACCACAGCCCCAAAGACATGTTACACTGAAGGGCATTCACAAGTTAATTATCTTATTCTATCTAATGTATCTTTTATAAGTTGTTAGCAAATAGCCAAATACAAACATTGTGTTGTTGATAGGGTATAGACCAGTTTACACTACTTTGAGAGAGCTAACTATGGAATATCAAGATATGTAACAATGGAGGTAGTTCATATAACAGAAAATAGAGAGAAAATACAAGGCACTTCCAGCTCCTAAATCCCAAGCCCAAATGATAATTCCAACCTCCCTTCTATTCTACCATCCACCTCTATTTATACTAACTATTCTAATATTATTATTACTCTTATTATTATTAGTGCTATTCTGCCGGAGTCCTATCATATCTCCCCCCTTAAACATCCACCTTGTCCTCAAGGTGGGTGATAGGAATCCGCCTTGATCTTCAACTTTATCTTCATCCTGGCGCCTCTCCCTTCCCAATATCTCACTGAATTTTGTGCCTTTAGCTTTGGTACTGGAACCTTCATCCTCAAGTCCTTCTCAGCAGGAAAGAGTAGAAGTAAAGGCATGATGGCACCATGTTCCCTGGTGTTGTAAAATTCTCCCTGTGTCTGCATCTCCTGTTGTATCCCTTGCTTTTGTTCCCACATCTTTTCCAAAGAATTGACCTTAATTTGATCGAGACCTGGAATCAGTTCAAAAGCATCTGATTTGAATTCCCCGTTATAATAGCAGATCAACATCTTCCCAGACATCTTCCCAGAGATCCAATCATACTTGAAACTTTCCAGCAAATATTTGTCTCTAAGACTCTCAGCAAAGAGCTTGATCCTTTCAAAATCTATGGAGGATAAGGCACAGCATGCTACATCATAAAGAGCAACAGCAACTTGCTTACAAAGATCTTCATCCAAATTCAGCAGTCTCTTACATAAGGCAGACATAGTCTGAGGAATTTCAGCTCTAAATGGATCATAGAGCAAACCAGTTTTAACCTTTTCACGAATACACATACAAACTTCAATTGTTTGATCCATAAACCTCTTCAAAAAAAACCTAGCTAACGGTTGAAAAACATCATTGATTACAAATTTGAGCATAGCCAAGAGGTCCCAAAACAAGCTACCCACTTCTAATCGTGTATCCCATAAATCAGTCTCCTGTTTGGATTGTGTCATATGAAAAATATAGGTGTAAACTACTCGTTGAACCTCTCCATAAAGAGTGTGCAGTTCATCCAGCCACTTTCCATCACTTTGGACACCACTAGCAATTTCTGGCTTTAACGATAGATCCATGAGATGCTCTCTGTTTGAAACATCACTTACAACAACTTGATTTGCAAAGTCCAGGTCCACACGGATTATATTCAACTGGTATTCAAGAGTAAACTTATCAGCACATCTCAGTCCGGAATTAGAGTACCAAATTGCAGAAAGCATCAAACTGCAGCCCGTAACTGTCATCCCAGATTTGACCTTTGAGTGAGTGAAGACTGATCCTTCAATTGCATTAATCTGTGGATCATTCTTCCTCAATTGCCTTGCTAAGGTACCCTGGAATAATACAACATCTTTACCCACAGTAGCTTGGTCCTGGCTGTCAGCATCAGCAACATACTTCTCCGTCCTTCTATTAGTGAGGTTGTGAACCATGTTACCCCTTTTCCAATCCTCATCTCTTTTACAGAGAATGTTGATATCTCCAGGCATCATAGGTAAGGATATCTGATTTATGTGCTTCGGAACCTTCCATAGTTCCATATTGTCTGATGAAATTCCCTTGCGTTGATTAACATCCTCTTCATGATCCGATTCCATAACTGTTGGTGCAGCCTGTTTCCACTCGGTTTTCGATTCCAGATAAACCTGTGCAAGTTGAGAAGCTGCGTAAGAATAAGCCAGCAACTGCGAACTGGTGATTTCTGACTGGGACTCAGTCTTCAGTGTTGTCGATGGCGGTCCACTTCCTGATTCCACGAGGTCTATAGCTTGCGCAGGGTGAGAATCGATGGAGTTCAGTGTCGTCGCTGAGATTTGCGCATGGTGAGAATTGACTTGCGATGACCATTGGTTATGCTCGTTTAACCGCGGCGAACTGGTAGCAACTTTTAGCGCCTGAGACGAATCTTGCGAACCCAGCGAATCAAACAGCGATGAACTTTGCGAACTCAACGAAATCTGCGAACATAGAAGCACTGTTCGCGTCTGCGAACTTGGATGAACTGTTCGCAACTGCGAACCGGGAAATTCTTCCCTCGATCGATTCGCATTTTGACACGAGCTGAGAGCTGGTGACAGAACATGCGAAGAACTCTGCGATGGAGCATGTGAACGGCGAGAAGTTTCGAGCGATGTGACCTGCGAACTTAGCGATTGAGACGGTCGGTGAGGATAGTCATGTTGAGTGTGGCTCCTTGAGTTTCTTGAACTTCTTCCCTCATGTTGAGCGTTCTGCTGCAGAATCAGTTTGCGCAACTCGGCGATATCTCTTCTCACCTTGTCGCTATCTTTCAGCAACCCCTCGATACTGTTCCGCATCTCCTTGCGGTCGCGTACCAGACTTTCCAGTCTTTCTTCCATCTTTGTGCGCGTATCAACCATGGCAGGAACGACTCTCTGATACCAATGATAGGGTATAGACCAGTTTACACTAATTTGAGAGAGCTAACTATGGAATATCAAGATATGTAACAATGGAGGTAGTTCATATAACAGAAAATAGAGAGAGAAAATACAAGGCAGTTCCAGCTCCTAAATCCCAAGTCCAAATGATAATTCCAACCTCCCTTCTATTCTACCATCCACCTCTATTTATACTAACTATTCTAATATTATTATTACTCTTATTATTATTAGTGCTATTCTGCCGGAGTCCTATCAGTTGTTCAATATAGTTGCTATGAAAAGACAAAGTATTTGCAAGGATAAGCAAACGTAGAAACTTATTATCAAGGTACACAAATAGACAATGAAGATTAAAACAGTTTACATAAAGCACTGTTTATTATTACCCTGTGAACAAGTTTCGAAATCATGTCGAGAGTGATTAACACCTTTCGACCTTGGTTAAGTTCTCTCCTGTAGTAAAACCCGATTCAGAAATAAATATACAGCGTAATAACCAAAAGTGAATACAAGAAACTGCAGATAAGGAAAAAATTGAATCTAATGGTTATTCAATGAAATGGTGACTGTATGTTTACATTGTAATAATGTTAGAAGCAACAGTGCATGGAGTTCTGGACCAAACCTTTTGAACGTCCCTGATATCTTTGCACCAAATATGTCGCTCGCAGCAGAAAGAAAGGTACAGTTCCTTATAGCAGAAACTTTATCAATGTGTTCGATTATCTGCAGCATGAAGCATCAAGATAAACCCTTTATTGACTGCAAAGAAGCATATGGGTATAAGGCAACAAATGGGATAGCAAGCCAATAGCTCCATATACAATTCAAAGAACACAAATTCACAACCTTCTTCTTTTCATCTTTATCAAAAGCTAGTAAAGCTTTAAATATTCGTCGATATGATGGACTATCACAACCAGGAAGTGTTGTTCTGAGCATAGAAATAATTGCTTTAACCACCTGCCATTCAATACCACATTTTTCATATGTACTTATGAGGTTTGTACACACTTAATTTAAATCCTAACAAAGCCTTAAATATCAAGAAAAACTAATAAACATAGGTACAATATTAAAATTTTGAAAAAGTATGTGTTCCTTACCTTTTTCCGGTAGAAGGCCACACCATGAATGTTAAATGGAATTTTTCTATCACGGAAAACTCTTTGAAATACTTTTCCCGACACCTATTGTAAAAGATGAAGCCTTTATTTCCTTATTGAGCATGAACTCAAGAAAGAATTTGTGGAAATCACTGATTACATTTTAAGGGGGGGAAAGTTTGTTATTTTATTTCTTAAAATTGGTTCTTGCCTGCCTTCGGTAGAGCACGCCAATGTTGCTGAATGAAGATTTGGCAGATGAACTATCAGATACAATTTCTAATATTTTATCAGTAACAAATGAACATTGTGCATCCTCGTTGCAGCACTCCTTGATGGTTATCTGGAAAATATGGTGTTGTCAACATGCCATACACAGACCAATAATCCAATATATCCACTTTAGAAATTTCTTGCAATAGAGACTACCTTAGCTCCAGAAGAATTTTCTGTAAGAACATGTTTTGACTGGCACCTTTTCAAATTGTGTTGGATGAGAAATGATGCAGCTTCCACAATGCAACGTGTAGATCGATAATTCCTATCAAGCCTAATCTAAATAGAGAATTAGAGATGTCCATGAATATTTATGGTGAGGTATAGTCAAGCACCCTATTCATCAAGTGAAAAAATACAAAATGTAATGACAACTAGTGGATGTAAAACCATACTATTCTAGAAAAAGCTTACCTCTTTATGCATTGGAAAATCTTTTCGAAATGAATCAAATCCAGAAACATCAGCTCCATTAAAACTGAAAATAGACTGTGTAGTGTGTACAATAAATGAAAGTAAATTAAAATTAAGACACAAGTACAAATATGAATGAATTAGTTTCCCGAAATTCATAGAGAATGCACACTTGAAAGCAGCGCACACCTGATCTTCATCGCCAATAACAGTAATTCTCCTATGGGATGCAAGGATCAGCAGGAGACCATATTGTGTGGTACTTGTGTCCTGAAACTCATCAATTACAATTGCCTTACATGATTCCTGGCACTCCTTGGATACTTCATATGTAGAAAAGAGAAAAGGAGTTTATATAAGTAAATGGAAGATTGGTAGCACTGTAGCACAATGTCAGAGTCTATGCCCATGTTTCAGTGAAATATAAATCATTTATCAGGACCTTCTGGAAAGTCAGTTAAGAGTTTGGCAGAACAACTGATCAAGTCATGGTAATCCAAAGCGTTGCAGGATTTTAATATGTCATTGTACTTTTCAAGAATTGCAGCCTGTTCATATTTAAAGATTAGCATGGTAAACGTAAACCACAAGATTTTAAAAATACAAACATACAATGACGGAATGTGTTTTGCTTACTCCTATATTGTTTCCGATTTTAGAGTAGTATTCAGATGACCTTCCAGCAGCTTTAGCCTGCAGAGGTTGTTTTTAGATCACACAGTTCACACTAGACTAGAGAAGATGTTTTTTTATTAAGTTAAAGACTTCCAACCATATAAGTTAAAATATTAGGTAGTGTCCCTTCACAATTGATATTTGGTCAAAACAAACCATTTCATGATAGACATTTGCTAAAGCAGATCCAGTGCATATATGAGTGGGAAAATGTTACAAACTAGCATGAAATGTTCACTGCTGTACTTGTTTTATACTGCCCCAGATCCAAATGAGTTGTCTCATTAACCATTCACGGATCAGTACAGCTCTTTTTTATTTCTATTTCAATCATCATTATCATTTCCCCAGTGCCGCAAAGGCTCCCACCTACGGTGGGTTATGGGGGGTTGGATGACGCAGTCTTATCCCTGTACTAAAGCAAACAGAGACTGTTTCCGGATGACCCACACTGAAAACCGCGTCAAAAATTGCATGGACTGACCGTTGCTTCATAACAAAGAAGCGCAGACAGTTTAGTGAGCCCATTTGCTTTATTCCATCATATTCCCAAGCCAAAAAATAGTGAGTCTTTGGCTCCATTCCAAATGATGGAAATTTTTTATTTCTATTTCAATATATATAAAAAAATCACATTCAAATTTGATTCTTGCAATTTAATAGGACTTTAGTGTGATTTCTAGGTATATATAAATTCTAAATCATAATTTTAATTCCCCAAGTCCAATGCTATTACTGTGTGAAAAGAATTAACTTGATAATCAGTTAGGCCTCATAATCCGAGCGATCAACTAATTTGGAACGAATGGTGTAATATAGAGTATAATATCTATTTATAATATAAACAAATAAAATTAAACCTGTACTACAAACTTCAGCCATTTCTTGGACTTATCCTTAAACTGCTGAGCTGATTTCATGCCAGGCATTTCATTTAGATTGCAGGACTCAATATTATACCCTTTGCTCCCAACGTCCAGTAGGCGAACTGCCTCAATGACAGCCCTTCGCTGTTGCACTTGCCCATATACCAAAAAGTCAGCTGTGCGGCCCAGCCTATAGATAGAGCTAATAGATCAGTATTTGACTGGTTGTTTGAACTTCTAGCATTTAAACTTAAAACTTTTATTCAAAATAAATTAGTATTCATAATGGACCCAAATGTCTACTTAACATATCTAAGTGCATTCTTTAGGTAATATCACTTTGCAACACCATTGAATTTCATCTAGCATGCATCCATGACAAACTAGTAGTGGAAAAGCACACATAGTTTTCTTGAGTCTTGACAATGCTTTCTTCCATAGGTAACAAGCCTTTTCATTATTGTCACTCTTTTGCATGAAGAAAGGAGCATACACCAAAGATGCATTAGCCCATTTTATGCTGTCAAATAAACAGGCGTGTTTTTCCTAGATTATAAAATGATTAAAATCCATTCTTTCTAAAAGATAATAGACTAATCCAAGTTAAAATATTAGAATCTCTGACTATATAAATTTGAATCAGAACTTATTTTGATAATATGGCATGTACATACTTCTCTGCATGTAAACGACAGAGTTGCAGGGAAAATGAATGAAATGTGCTAATTTTTAGCTCTTTGGCTGCTGACTTCCCAGCAACTGCCCCAATTCGGTCTCTCATTTCAGTAGCCGCTGCTATAGTGAAGGTCATAGCCAGAATGTTGGATGGGTCAATGCCCTATAATGTTCCAAATTGTCATTAGACCAAACATTTCCAAAGAGTTCGGCTTGTAATTTACAATTAATAACGAGCCATTTGTTGCACTATTGTATTGCACCACTGACCTTATGCAGCAGCATCAAGACACGTCCTACCATTGTAGATGTCTGACACCCAAAACCAGATAAAGAAAGTCATATTATGGAACATAGAGAAAATTCAAACTCAAATGTTAAAAAGAAGAGACCTTGCCACTCCCTGGTCCAGCAACTATGATTAGTGGGACTGATATGTCAGTGCAAGCAGCATCCCGCTGCTTGTCATTTAGTGCCCTTATATACTGTGCATAATCATCAGGCATGCTTCTAGTATATGAATCCAAAGGACTCTTGGGTTCTTGCTTACATGCTTGATCACTTTCTAAAATTAAAAAACCTTCATGTTCTAAGTTTTGACATAATCCATCAGGATTTGAGAGATCCCTACCACCACTATCTGAATCTTTTGCCTCAGACACTTTATCAGTTGAAGTCGGGGTGCTTTCAGCCATTACTTTTTCATCTAAAATAACTTTCACACCTGACTTGTCCTTCCCACTACTTCTGAAAGTATAGCGACTTTCCTCCTCTTCAGCACCACTCGTCTCCCTTTTTGCACTTTCTGCTAACTTCTGCTCACACAAAGCATCAATTTCCTCCAAAAAAGACTCATCAAAAGCATCATCCAGAACACTGGATGATGGGTACACCCCATTAACATCAGAGAAGCAAGGTTGCCTCACCGGAGTAAAATTGGAATCTATTTCAGCAGTGTGTTCCACTAAAACATCTGCTTCTCCGTGGAGACTGGAAGCAGTCTTGCAGGATGAACTATCAAAATACTGGTCAGTACATTGTATTTTTTGGTTGTCAGGAGTTTTGAATAAAGATAAATGTTCTCCACTCTCCCTTCTTGTTTCAACAGTGTACCCAAAGGCCCCATTAGAGCATAGTAAATTGCATCCATTGATCAACTTTGAATTTAACGACTTCTCAGAGGTATGTAGAGGTGTGTTCATTGACACCTCAGAGAGCGGAATCCTTGTAATTCCACCGAGCTGATCCGCATGTCTACTTCCCCTGTCAATGTCATCTCTAAAGATCACATATGTAAAAAAAATATAAACAAATTTCAAAACCGATCTAATGAAAAAAAAACTTTTTCATATGAGAAAAAATACTTTTAGGTACCATGAGTCGAACTTTTTCTTCTGATCTACGTGCATTAATATTGTTTAAAAAGCCAAGTTTTGAATAGCTACATGAAATTTAAGCCCTGAATGGAAGAACCAGTTATTAAAACCGTGCAAATCCAAACTCGTTTTGAGATTCTCTTAGCAATTTCATCATGCACTTTCAGCTCAAATAGCCATCTACTGAGCCACTAAGTGCTGTAACCGGGGACTACCTAACAAGATATTGATTGACTACTCACTTTCTAGGGAATTGATGATCGAAAGCACCGCGGGGCCTTTTGCGAGCGAGAAGCGCCTTGGCGGCTTTGAAGTTTTCGGAAATCCTAGCCTTTTGTTTGGATGATAAACGGCCGTAGTCGGCCAACTCATTTTCCTTGCCTCTTAGGCTCCCGTGCGTTTCTGTATCCTTCATGGTCTATGCATTTCAGTGCCGGGAAAATGGAGTGGTTGATTTTGTCGACTGCTTTCCCTCCTGTTCTTCGTGCTGTGAGCAATTTAAACTTATGGGCCCAACCCGTCTACTACAGTCACTGACCACTCTTCGCAGACCCATAAAATTAAATGAAGTTTCTTTTTTACCATGATCCAGACTTGGTTTTGAAAACTTATGGAAAAAACTAGGTGTACACCCTTTTGGTGTACATCTAATTTTGTTTGTGTAACAAAAAATGTAATTTGTGCGTGAACGTTCCCATAAAAAGAAAGATGTACAAAAGGTGTTTATAGTTCATCTGTAAACCGCTAATGATATTGTAGAGAAAAGGAAGAAATACGAGTAGATCAAGAAAGTATTCTTGTACTAAAATGTAGTTGGTTGAAAGTGGGTTTACAAGACTAAATACAATTCTGATGGGTCCATTGAGCGCCACAAGGCCCGTTTGGTCGCTCAGGGGTTCAAGCAACAGACAGGTATAGATTTTACTGAAACTTTTAGTCCAGTTGTTAAACCCATCACTTTTCGTCTTGTATTGTCTATTGTTGTTTCTCTTGGTTGGTGCATTCACCAACTTGATGTCAAAAATGTATTTCTCCACGGTCATCTTACAGAGGAAGTGTATATGTGTCAACCTCCAGGTTTTATCCATCCTTCTTTTCGTAATCATGTGTGTCGCCTCAAAAAGGCATCGTATGGTCTCAAATAAGCTCCACGAGCTTGGTGTCGTCGATTTAGTGGATTTCTCCCACTCGTGGTTTTTCTCATAGTAAGTCTGACTCGTTGATGTTTGTGTTTCGTCGTGGTTCTCAGGTAGTCTTCATTCTTCTTTATGTGGATGATATCTTAATTACTGGCTCTTCCTTATCCTTTGTTCACCATATTATTCAGTCCTTATCTACTCAGTTTGCTATGAAGGATTTGGGGGATATCCATTTTTTCTTAGAACTTCAGACATGTCGTACGCCTCAGGGGTTATTTATTTCTCAGCATAAATATATTTCCGATTTATTACGACGTTTTCATCTTCACACTGTTAAACCAGTTCGTACTCATTTACTGTCATGTACCACTCTTTCTCTGACAGGTGGTAAACTGCTCACTCATGCTACTGAGTATCGTAGTATGGTAGGTGCATTACAGTATTTGATTTTGACTAGACTTGATATTACTTATACTATGCATTTGCTTTCGCAGTTCATGCATGCTCCTCGTACTACTCACCTTTTGGCTGTAAAGCGTATTTACAGGTACTTGCAGGGCACTGTTAATCATGGTTTATGGCTCCAGTCCAATCCTGATATATCTCTTATTGTTGCTTATTCTGATGCGGATTGGGCTGGTTGTCCGGACAGTAGTCGCTCTACCACAGGTTATGTCGTCTTTTTGGGTAGCAATTTAATTTCTTGGAGGTCCAAGAAGCAACCAACACTGTCCAAGTCGTCTACTGAGGCTGGGTACCGTGCCATTGCTTATACAGTCCAGGACACTCTCTTCATTCGCTCCTTGTTGGCAGATATGGGTATTACTATTTCGGCCCCTGTCCAACTTCGATGTGATAATGTTTCTGCCTCCTATCTTGTTGTCAATCATATACATCATGACCGCAGTAAGCATATAAAGATAGACTATCATTTTGTCAGAGAACGAGTTGCTCATGGAGATCTAGTGGTTAAATATGTTCCTACACAGCTGCAGTTGGCAGACATCTTCACAAAGAGTTTATCTAGTCAACGTTTTGAGTTTTTACGTGTCAGTCTGCGCGTTGTTTCCCCTGCACAGATTGAGGGGTTGTAATAATATATAATAGAGGACATATTTGTAATTTTACTATTCCTTGGTTATTATAAATACAGAGTTGGGCACCCTATTAGGGTAAGCCATTATTTCCCAATGATTATTTTCATACGTTGAGACGTACTAAGTAATAAAGATTAATTTTTTGAAAAATATTACTAAATTCCGTGCATTTAAATTTTCAAAATATGAAATTTTAAATTATTAACTAATACGAAATGAGAATGTGTGGCTAAAAGAGGAGGAGTGCCGTACGGTGGTAGCTAACAGCTGGAATGCGGGTTCACAGTTAACGGTAAATGAAAAAATTATTTTCTGTGGACAGGAACTCATGCGGTGGGACAAGCGTAGGCCGAAGGGTTTTCGTAACCAAATTAGTGCATATAAGAGCAGATTCGCCCGGTTGCGTGGCCATGATGACGAGGAGAGCACGAAGGAATTCATTCGGGTGCGCACGATTATTCAATCGTTGATGGAGAAAGAGAATTTATATTGGCGGCAACGCGCCAAGATTTTCTGGCTGAAAGAGGGTGATATAAATTCAAGATTTTTTCATAATGCTGTTAAACAGAGAAGGAGAAGAAATAAATTACACGGGCTATGAGCAATGGATGGTTCGTGGATCACGGACAGAGGTAAGGTGGCGGATATGGTCAAAAACTATTTTGAATCTATTTTCCCGGAAGTAGCAGAAAGGCAGGAGGGTTTGATCATGGGATCATTTAATCGGGTGTCAGCTGATCAGAATATCAAGCTGACAAGGGCTATCAGTCCGAAAGAGGTGAAAGCAACCATTTTTTACATGCATCCGGAGAAGGCTCCAGGGGCAGACAGTATGAATCCGGCGTTCTTTCAACGATTCTGGGATATAGTGGGGCCAGAGGTGTCTCGTCTGTGCTCAGGTATTTTTGAAACAGGGATGCTCCCAAATGAATTAAATGAAACCAACATTGGTTTAATTCCAAAGAAAGATAAGCCTGACAACATGGGTGATTGGATACCAATTGCTTTGTGCAATGTGGTGTATAAGATTTTTTCTAAAGTACTTGCGAACCGGCTGAAAGAAATTTTGGGGGGTCTGGTGGATGAAAGTCAGAGTGCGTTTATTTCGGGTAGATCTATTGTTGATAATATTATTGTTTCCTTTGAGACTCAACACTACCTGAAACGTAAGTCTTATGGAAAAGAAGGCTATGTAGCTCATAAGCTTGACATGAGTAAGGCGTATGATAGAGTCAGCTGGAGTTTCCTTAAAGATGTCATGATGAAGATGGGATTTAGCCAGAAATGGGTTGATATTATTATGCTCTGTCTTTCAACGGTTAGTTACTATGTTCAGCATGACAAAGATTATTTGGGGCCGATAATTCCACAAAGAGGGTGATAGACACTAGTTGTTAGTGCCTAAGTATACATTTTGTGCAAGTTACTATGTTCAGCATGACAAACATTATTGTTTGTAATGTTTATTTACTAGTTTTGTGCAAGTTTATAGTTGTTAGTTTGCATTTGATTGTAATCGTATTTCTAGCATTTTATTGTTTGTTGTAAGTTGTAGTTAGTTTGGATATAAGTTTAGGATAGGTTTGGAAGCAAAAGGGATGAAGAAACCTGAGTTTTGTGCAAAACCCGGTCGGGTATGGACTTTACCCGGCCGGGTATGAAGTGACAAAGGAAATTGCTACAAAATTAGCAAATACTCGGTCGGGTATTCCATATACCCGGTCGGGTATTCTGTGATTTCGGACCAAAGAACGTGCAGAAGACACAAAAACATGGGAAAATATTTGATTTGGTAAATACCCGGTCGGGTATGTCAAAATACCCGGCCGGGTATCCGGCATTAGGTGTTGAAAACACCTATAAATAGCCCCATTTTCCTTCACATTTCATCATCCCTTCTTCCATACTCTTTAGCTCAGTTTAGAATAGCATTTCTTTATATTTTTCTAGCTATGTTTAGTCTCCAAATGAGGAGCTAAACTTCCATTCTTGGTGTTGCTCTTGAAGCTTGTTGATTATTAAAGTTGTGAGTTATTTTCTTAACTTCTTTCCTTGAATATTAATTAATAGTTCTTTCCTTAATATCATCTCTATATTAATGTTGGGGAGTGTTGCTAAGATGACAATTAGTTAACATCTCGACATTAGTTAGAATGGTATTTTCTTCCTCTATATTAATATTGAGGAGTGTTGCTAAGATGACAATTAGTTAACATCTTGATATTAATTATAGTAGGATTCATCTTCATTAATAATATTCTTCCTTGAATATTAATTAATTCCTACTCTTGTTTCATATTAATATTTAGAACATTACTTAAAGGATCAACTAGTTTTGTTTCATATATTAATTATTACTAGAAATGATCAACGAACCGATGGTTAATCGTTGATGGTTTCACAAGTAAGTAACTTCGGTTTATTAATGCACGGTCGTGGTTAATAAACTTAAGAGGGATTAATTTTGTTGGTTAAACCGAAACCGCTTGTGTTGAGGTTATCAATCTCAATTGATTTCATCAAGGAGTTAGAAAGATTAAATGCTACTATTAAATCGGTATAAGGCGTTGTTCTATATTTGATTAATAGTAAGGGTTATTAATGAACGGTCGTTGTTAATAACTACCCTCGATGAAGTGGATATACTCCCCGATTGAGTATTCGAGAGGGAATAAGTTATAGATATAACAATGATCGACTAAAATATATCAACAAGTGGAAAGTAGCAATGCCAAGTCCTTTTTATCTTTGAATTAAACACATATAGGTTGTTCATCTTAGTTCTTAATTAAATTAAATCACTCAATCCAAACCCCCCCTTTTACTAAGTATCATAAAAAGAGAAATATTCCTTTCCCTGTGGATACGAACTCTACTACGCTATACTACGTATAAGTGTTTAGTATTGAATTTATTTTGACGCACCGTGACAAAGTGCTCGTCAGAGGGCTTAGACAGGGAGATCCCCTTTCCCCATACCTATTTATTTTAATAGCGGAAGGACTAAGTTTCTTACTTCGTAGAGCCGAAGCCAGGGGAGACACATGGCGTGGCGGTCTGTCGGGGGCGCCGCGTGTCTCTCATTTGTTATTTGCTGATAATTGTTTTCTGTTCTTTAAATCCTCAAAGGAGGAATGTGCAGCTGTGAAGAACATTCTGAAAACCTACGAACAGCTTTCAGGCCAAATGGTAAATTTTAATAAATCTTCTCTTTCTTTCAGCCAGAATGTTGGAGAACAATTTAGGGATTTTTGTAGCCAGCAGTTGAGAGTGCCGAGGGATGGGTGCCACAATTTTTATCTGGGTTTGCCTGCGATGGTAGGAAAAAATAAATCGGTGATCTTGAGTTATTTGAGGGACCGTATTTGTAGCAGGATAAAAAATTGGAATAATCGTTTCTTATCTCGTGTTGGGCGTGCGGTTTTACTACGCAATGTTATTCAGGCTTTACCAAATTATGCTATGAATGTTTTCCTTCTGCCAAAAGAGATATGCGATGAAATTGAAAAACTCATGAATGGCTTTTGGTGGAAGGGATCAAAATTTGACCAGAAAGGGTTGAGATGGTGACGGTGGGAGGTCCTGAGCAAACCAAAAGAGGTAGGGGGATTGGGTTTCAGGAGGATTAGGGAATTTAATATTGCTATGCTAGCAAAGGAGGGATGGAGACTGACTACTGAATCGGGGAGTCTGATGAGTCGCGTGCTGAAAGCCAAGTATTTTCCCTCTCCTGACTTTCTCCAGGCTAAACTTGGAAGTAACCCATCTTTTATTTGGCGGAGCATTTTTGAATCTCAAGAAACCTTGAAAAATAATATTATAAGGAGAGTTGGGAATGGTCTGGATACCCAGGTGTGGGGGGATGCATGGTTACCGGGTGTAAATGGAAGAGTGTCTTCTGCAAAGCCGATGGAAATTAGTGATATGAATGTTGCAGCGTTAAGAGATACATCCGGGAAAAATTGGATTTTGGAAAGATTGAATAAATGGTTCAATCAAGAAGATAGGAGCAAAATCTTGAGTATCCCTGTAAGTTGTATAAACAGGAAGGATGGCTACTAGTGGGTAGGGGAACGCCATGGCATTTTTTCGGTGAAGAGTTGTTATAGATTGCTTATGGGGGAGCAATCGGCGGGCGATTGGAATGGTTGGAGCAAGCTATGGGGTTTAAAGGCGCCTCCAAAATTTAAATATCTTGCTTGGCAAGTGCTAGATGGCTCTCTTCCTTCCGTTCATAATCTTAAAAGAAAGGGGATTACTATTCAGGGAGGGTGTAAACTCTGTGGGCAGCAGGAAGAGGACACAGATCATGCACTCCGGTCTTGCCCGAAAGTGGAACAAGCAGGTCTTGCCTCTTTTGATGAATGGTTTCGCAGCAGGGTGGCGATGACAGGTATGGCTGCCGGCAGCAAATTGGTTGCTCTAATTTGGAGTATTTGGAAGAGGCGGAACAGTGTAGTGTGGAAAGGTGAAGACTATGAGGCAGCAGGAGTAGTTCGCGTAGCAGAGAGTATGCTGAGAGCCTGGCGAGACGTCCAGGTGGTGGCTGAAAATAGGCCAAGGGAGAGCTCATTCAAGAGGGATGAAATGAAATGGAAGAAACCGAGACCGGAATTTTTGAAGATAAACGTGGATGGGGCCGTTAATCAAGGTGGGGGAGTTCGTGCTTGGGGATGGGTGGCTCGGGATGGGGAAGGTAATTTTGTTAGAGCCTGTGCTTCCTCCGTTACAGCAGATTGGTCCCCTGAAGAGACAGAAGTGTTGGGTGTGTCTCGGAAAAACAAAGAACTATTAATTAATAAAAATAATTAATTAATAAGATAGAAATAAGATGGAGCAGATTTTAGCCAGAGCTCGTGCTACGCACGATGTCCTTAAAACATATTCGTCGCCTCCCACGGTGCTAGGAGCGTTGCAACGACCGTTTCCCAGGATACGGTGGCTAACGAACGATCGTTTGAGCACACAAACGAAAGTCCCGGCGAACTGGAACAATAATAGAACACTTGGGAAATTTTGAGAGAGCTGAAGGTGTTTTTGAGAGCTAAAATACGTGTATGATTGCTTGTGAATGTGTGTTTGTTGCAAACAC